TGATTGGCTTCTTTAATCCTATGAAGTAAATGCAATTATTCTTATTTTCGTTTTATAAGGGAGCGGCTTGAGGCTTTTCCTCTGCAACCCACCTTTTTAGAATTTAAATAACTTGTCGAAGGTTGCATAGCACAGACATGACAAACTCAGATTTGAGTCTGTATCGGATGTCCATACTCAGTCTTTACCTGTGTTTAGCTGTAACTCCCCGAATTTTGAATTCAGAAGTTTGTTTGCCACTTAGCTTTTAAGAAGTTAGATGCATTTTCACACTGAAATAATGTTATCAAATTCACATAACCCAGAAAGTAGCCTAAATCATATAATTGAGTGATATCACATTTTTAAAAAGTGCGTTCCAGGGTTTCAAGCCTGTGTCCTTGTTGTTATGAGAAAATTCATTCTCTCTTGAGGAAGGAGAGGGGGAATCTGGAAATGTCCTTTGGCCTTGGGTTTCAGGTGCTACTCTTGTAAGTCTTGTCACCAAAAATCTAACCCAGCCTTCCTGTCCCCAGGAGCCTGGTTTGCCTCTAGCAGGAAGGTAGCCACGTGACGTGCCTGTCACCGTGCTGACAGCTGCTCCTACCATAGGCCACTCACCACGGGGACCCTTGGTGACTCCTGGCTCATCAGAGACAATCCCATACATACACTAGTGCTCCAATTTAATTTAAGCACCTACTTCTGTAACTCCAGGTAACCTCTCACTCCATTAGGTGGGTTAGCTCTGACCTCCCTCCAATGGACTTTCAACCTCATAGAGGGGCCTACACTGGGACATCAATACATGACCCTAAGTTACTTCTTGTTTACAATTCAATTCTAAGCCTAGAAAAGTCTAGAACAATTAGCCTCCCCCCCCCCCAGAGTGATTTCTCAATGGACCAAATTCAATTTTGCTCCTTAGATGGGAGATCCGGATCTGGGGACAAAGTGTCCAATGCACAGACTGCAGTTAGTATGCCCAAATAATTTACCCATTCTGGTGCTTCTCAGAATAGATCAAGTACACCCAAGTATTCTGCAGTGTCCTCTGGAATTTCAAAACTTTATAGAGAGATTTGTAACATGAATACCTTCATTTGAATGGAGCTCGAAGTCAGTGCAAACTGTTACCTCCTGCTATGTGGGCTATTTTAGCATATTAAATAAATTTTACCTTCTACAATATATAGCATTTTCCATAGCAATTTGACTGTCAGAAATCATCTGAGTAACAGACACTCCTGTTAGAGGAGGGACAGGTAGAAAGATAGAAAAGCTTCTAATATCAAGATCGTGTAGTATCTGCTTTGATAGGGAGCTATCTTTTGGCTTCCTGTTCTTAAAACTGTATTTTTCTCCTCTCCTTCAAAAAAAAAAAAAAGTACAAAATTTTATCTTTCACCTTAATTATCCTACTGTTGATTTATTTATAGTCAAATGAATTCATAAACCAAAGTGCAGCATAGTGGTATGAGTTTGTCGTAAATTCTCATTCCTCTGTGGTTTGGTTGGGGTGTTTGGAAGTTCGTTGTATAACTGATTTTATCTCTCTTGCATAATCAGAATTTGGTACCTAAAATAAGTAGACAATTAGAATAAAAGGTGTTTTCTGTGCTGCCGAAGCACCTTCCCGGTGCACGCCAGCAGTGAACGGGGCTCACAAATAGGATTGTTTCCTCATCCTCTGATGGCCAGTAAAATCCAATCCCATAAAAGTTTGTGGGGAAGGCCCTACTATGCATAAGCCATGCCGGGAGGTGTTCAGTAAATATCTGTGGAGTCGCAAATAGCTACAGCACAATCGCAGAACCCAACTTGCCACATGGCGTCCATGACAACACGTGTGAAGGACGGAAAATGGAAATGCCTGAGCTTCTCAGCTGATCACAATAAAATCAGAACACCTCAAAACAGCTGGTGTTCTGTGACTCAAGACTCCCAGTGCCTCTTACTTCTTTATTTCTCTTTACAGTTTCACAGAAGAGATTTAAACCAGCGTTCTGTCTTAGTTGTTGGGTTAAAACCCCCGTTTTGAGCACCTTTGCTTTCATGTTCTAATACCCAGGAGTGAAACGGACTAATATATAAAAACAAAATAAAGGCTAGCATTAAAATAATTTGTTAGCCGCTGTCGTTCCATTTATGCTCACTCAACCATGTGTTCAAATAGAATGCCCTAGAAGAAACAGAATGTTAAGGCTGTGTTATGGAATGAGAGTAGTTCTCCATCAGCAGTATTTATGCAGCTTACAGATATGGCAATGGATACTGCACATTTCTAAGTTATAATTTCTATTTTAATGATTCTACAAGTAAGGATATCTTGGGGAAACCAATCTGAAGTTAGCAAATGCAGGCTAAAAGTTATGCGTTTTGGTGTCTGACACTAGCTCTTCTCTCTGTTCTGATAGGAGCCCCTTACACCATTCTTTGGCGAAGGCTGTTCAGCAGTGCTGACCTCTTCCAGTCGAATACTCTACAAATTATTATCTCTGGACTCCTAGCTGACACCCTGCCGGAGGCAAGAGCTGCTAAGCCAACTGGAACTGTGCCGCTTCTGTTGTCAAGGTTTTTTTCTTACAGAGGAAAAAGAAAGAAGAAAAAAAAGATGAGGTTGGGCAAAGTGGAGTTCTGCCATCTTCTGCAGCTAATCGCTCTTTTCCTGTGTTTTTCTGGGATGAGCCAAGCGGAACTCTCAAGGTCGAGATCAAAGCCCTATTTCCAGTCGGGGAGGTCCCGGACCAAGCGCAGCTGGGTGTGGAACCAGTTCTTTGTGCTGGAGGAGTACATGGGCTCAGACCCCCTCTATGTAGGAAAGGTAGGGGAGCGGGCCTTGCCAAGGCATTAGCAATTATTGTGAATTTCTGTGGTTGGATGGAGAATGGCTCATTTTTGCTTTGGGGGTGGGAACCATGAAACTCTCACTCCTGTGAAATCGTTTCTGAAGTTTTTGGCATTGGTTAGCCACTCTGAGATCATAATACAAGTATTATCCATAGAACTGAAGCCGTAACTTAGGGAGTGATGCCTTATTTCTAGAACTAGATGAGGATTCTACCGATACCTAGTTTAGCATGATGGTGGCACACTAGTAAAAGTATTGTGTCCAAAATTAGAGCAAGTATATTCATTAATCCATGAAGAATCATGGGTTCTTATTGTCAGGTGACGTTTTAGTTTCTTTTGGGGGGGTGCTATGTAAATGGTGTCTGTACTAATTTTATGCTTATATAGCCTTTCCTGACGGTTGCAGTTTAAAAACTGCAACATGAAATTACTGAGCTTATTGCCTTTAAATTATGAACCATTCAAACCTACTTTTCCCAGCAGTGGTCTCGTTTAGATGGATTCTTTTTATTTGGTTTTTTAAAATTTCTTTTTGGTTAAAAATGAGTGTAAACAGAAGTCAAAAGTGATATCATACCACTGGTGAGAATCGTGTGTACATTTGTTTGGTGGCCAAATGACAGCCAAATTGAGCTTGTTTTCTCCACAATGTCTTTCTTTCTGCATATTTGGGCAGAATTTTTCATGTGAGCACCTTGTAAACTGAAGGGCGCGTCAGGAGAGTGTGGCCTGTCCCTTAATAGCCTCATATTGTTCCAGTCCCTCGTCTACTGTAGGTTTGATATTTTCAGATTTGTAAGGATTTCCTGATTTTCTCGGTTTGGTGATGAGCACTGGTGAATGTTTTCTAAATAGAGTGCATTGGCAAGAAATCTGTACATCTGCATCTTTTTTTACTTTGTCAGCTTTATGTGTCTATTCCTGATAAAACTGTTGAATTTATCCGTGAGTGACTTTTCAACTTTGAATGATTGAGGAAGAATTTTTGCTGTTTACTTCATGGGTTATGTTTACATTTGAACACACCTTAAGTAAGGGTGAAAAAATCTATTTTTTTTGATGGGTGTCTGCATAAGTCAAGGTAATATTTATTACATTATTTTAATTCAATGCCTGTATAATTTACAAATAGTGACAGACATTTATTGCAAACAAAAGGATGTGAATAAATTCAAGGTTTCTAGGGATGTGGATTAGGATTTTTTTTAGCCCAGTCAGCATTTTCTGCACTAAGAAAAGATACGTAAGCACACAAGCGTTTGTGTACATATATATTTTTCATAACCATTCTACTTTTATAAATAGTACAGTCACATATACTGTACATGTACTAAATTTCTCTTGTTTTCTTTTAAAGTGAGAGCAACAACCATTACACAATGTTAGTGACTAAAAATCTACCTCTTAATTTTTTTCATTTTTTAGTGAACATTTAACAAATTCATCAAACGTTTTTAAATGCAAAGGTTTATGAGGTTCAACTAATTCAGAAAAAGTCAGAAGTTATTAGTTAAAATCACACTTTTGTGAGAATGAAAAATTTTCTAAAGACAACTAAAATATTCACATTAATTTGGTTTTAAATGGAGTTGCTGAGTGACATTGACATTTTGAGATAAATGTAATTTGAAACATTTAAAAATACCCTTTTAAATTTTACAATCTTCACATAATAATTAAGAATGTTTATATGTATCGAATCTCCATCTGTCCATTTAAAGTTATGAAAATACATGTCTCTAAGGCTACTTAAATTCCAAAAGTATAGAAAGCCACTGGGCAATGCTGATGTGATTTTTCTAAGAGAGATTGTGAGGGTCCTGAGTAGGTAACAAGAAATATTTTGTGCTTACCTTTCAATTAATTGGAAGCAATCACTGTAGCAGATTTTATATGACAGGAAGCAAATTCGTGTTTATGTCTTGCATGCTGTATACTGGGAGTTCAGTATGGACGCTCATGGTAGAATGTTCAGAAGAGAAGTGGGTTAAAAAAAACCAATCTTAAATGAGTAAAATACAGAAAAAACAACAACAAGGCAGTTAAATAACTCGAGATGGAAAGAGAATTCATAGACACGAGAGAGAAAAGAAAGGCCTTAGGGGAGCAATTTGGATTTGCTTGGGGAAAGGTGGCAGGAACCGATTGTAAGGAGTACTTTGGATTGTACGCGTGAGATGACGAAATGAGTCTTAGTTGGTGGGCTGAGGAAACAGGTATGAGAACAAAGTTGTCCTCGGTGCATTCACTTGGGTGTGTGGAATAGATACATTTTCGTTTTTTTCTAAGTTGAGGGATGTAATAGCTATGACTAGAAGTTTTTATAAAACAGGACACAAAATTAGAGATGAAGAAAGATGTGGAAGAATGGATAGGCAGGTAATTGTGGGAAGGAAGAAGGAAGCGAATGGGTACTTTTTACAGAGATATTTAACCTATACTAGTTAGATGACCATACTCTTAGTCTTTCTAACAAAATCTGGCTGCTTAGGTAATTTGGAAAATATAAATGATGACCTCGATGAACTTGATGGCTTGATTTGATCACACGTACAGTGTGTGTCAAATTGACTTCAGTTTTATTGCTACCACTTCCTACTAACTTTGGGCAAATTGCTTCCCCATCTCTAAAATGGGAATAATGCTATCTGCAGTTGAACTCTCTTACTGGGAGTAAATGAGATCAGAATATTTGGAACATACATTCAATTAATCTAGACATTATTATATTTATCTACTTCACTGCATATTATAAATTAACAGAATTATGGCTAATCCATTGTGTTTTGCCTCAAATGTTATATTTGTGACCTTTCAGATGAAACAGGCATTATTTTGTGAACTAAGTACTTAAACTTATTGCAGTTAGAGGAATGGTCTATGTTTTATGTGCTTAGAAATACATCATGTCTTTATATTTGTTTATGATCAGACTGTGGCAAAATACAGTTTAGTGGGTGAATGATTCCGTCCTTAAACACAGGTTTCAAATGTCTGAGAAATTATGTCTGTGAATATTTTTAGACTTTGAACTTGGAGACCGTGGTCATAGCTGGTGGCCAACAAGATAACTTACATGACCGTGCAGTAAATAAAATTTGGTCATTAAAACACTGAAGATAAGTCACAAGATGACTTGTGAAATTATTATTTTAGCTAATTCATTGGGTTTGTTTAACATGATAACTGAAGACCAAAGTAGGACAGTCTGTTGAAGGGGCTCAGGAGTGATTCTAGAATCTTCGCCCAGAGACATCCAGGGCACAGAGTTCCTGGGCTGCATTCACATCTGACCTTTATCATTAGCGTCCCACCATCTCTCGTGATGTGCGTTGATCAACTGCTGACTCTAAAGGCAGAGGCTTAAGGAAAGAATCATTAGATCTTACTCTGATGGAGTTTTTTAACTGAGGTATAATTGACATCTAACATTAGTTTTCGGTGCACCATATAATGATTCAGTATCTGTATCTATTGCAACAATGATCACAATAAGTCTAGTTAACATTCATCACCACACATAGTTATAAAAATAATTTTTCTTGTGCTGAGAGCTACTCGCTTAGCAACTTTCAAGTATGCCATGGAGTGTTATTAGCTGTATGGAGTGCTGCCTGGAGCTCTGCTGTGAAGAATAACTGTGTGCCTCTCCTTAGGAGTATTTCCTAATCACCGTCAGCCCTGTTTCCTTGTCCTTTTTAGAGTGAGGATGAAGTGGAGAGACCTTCCTTGTCTCCCTGTGACTTTATATCAGCCCGAACTGGCTGTTGGCAGAATGTAAGAACTGACAGCTTACAGCCCCTCATTGCATCACACTGCACTTGCCTCGTCCAGTCTTTCCCTCCCCTTGACATTCCTCATGTAACATCCCCCAACAGTCTGACAAAAAATTTTGTCTCTGAAACCACCGAGCCTGTGTTCCGGCGTTAAGTGTTTTCCATCTTGCCTCCCCATCATGGGCTGCCAGCCAATTGCCGCGCTCTAGACCATGACTTTCCCCGAAATGTGTGCTCCGTGCCTCCTCCACAGTCTGCTTCTTCAGCTGTTAACATCACTCTTGTCTTTTCTGCTACTCCCCTTTCTTCCCCACTCATTCAGGGAGAATTTATTCCTATTACCCTGGTCAAAACCAAGTACATGGGAATTCAGTGTGAGATTCAGCCTGGTTTAAATTTCAGCTTGCTTGAAAGTGTCGGTGAGCATTTTCGATGCAGTTGATTACACCTCTGCAGTATCTCTCACCACGAGATTCTCTGTCTCCTGATCAGTAAAGCCAGGTGCAGTGTTCCAGAAAAGGAATTTTCACCTGGAAAAGAGGCGTGTTCAAAAAAAAAAATGAGTTAGGAATTAGATTCCTTAACTAGGCAAATGTATATGAGATACACAAACAGAAAATAATGAATCCCAAATATTTATGACTTAGGGAAGCACATATTCATCATGGCACAATTGACGTTTTGTAGATTTTGGAGGGGAAACAAGTACAAACTACAAAAGTGTCCTCTCCCTATAGAAATTCCCTAAAGTTGGCTCCAATCTTAGAAGACAGCCGTCGGAGCTTGTTTTTCCTATGCATGTGTAGTAACCCCATTTTTTTTTTAACATCTTTGGAACCTGAGTGAGTTGTAAAGACCGTTTTCTGATAGGAACGTGGAACTCCTGATGACTTCAAAGGGAATTTGGACCTGGACCAGCTCTATGGGATGTTCAGATTCTTAGAAACGCTTTCTGGCAGTTATTCTTAGCCCTTATAATACCCCAGTGTAGCTATAAAATATTAAATACATTTTCTCCACATAAAATCAACACTTCAAAGTTTTTGTTTTATTTCTTTTCTACCACAGTGAAATACACAGTGTCTGATTTTGCCACTAAAATGCAGAAACCTACCATTAATTCAGTTTAATATAGTTCAGTATGTCTTCCAGGTTATCTTAGGTGAGAAATGAATGTTATGATCACCAAAAGCTT